GAAAGGGGAGTGAAGGTGAGTGGTGGTGCCAGGATCCATCAGATTAAATGTTTGCTTGAAGGTTTCTTTACTTTCTTCAAATCCACTGTGATGCAACGCAGCGTCTAAGATTGATAACCCAAACTTAAGCTCACTCCAAAAACATCATAACTATTCCTTTGAGCTGCTTTTAAACTGCAATGTGTAACTTTTATGTAAAAAATAAATAAAATGTATTTTTATGTATTTATTAAAACTGTCACTATGGTGTGACAGTGTGGATGAGACGCGTAATTTGTGGAAAAAATCAAGCTCCTTTGGCTTCTCCTAGTGTCATCTGAAGACATGCAGTGCTCTATCAGAAACAACCAATCAGAGCCAGGAGGAGGGCGTTAGCACTGTTCATCATGCTTGTGTACGCGCTGCTCACACCCCTCCCTTTGCTCTCTGCTACCCGTTAGCAGAGCCTGCTATTAATACTAAGGCTAATTAGCGTTAGCATCGCCACCAATAATGGTTTTCCTGTAATGGTAAGTTGCTTCTCCGCCGCAAGAGGGTGATTGACAACGCTAAGTCACGCCTGGCTCTGATTGGTTGATTTTTGCATTTCTTTTTTTTTTTTTTTTCAAAAATTACCTGTCTCATATTATACTGTCATGACCTGGTGACAGTTTCAACAAATATGTAAAAAAAAAAAAAAAACATATAAATATTTTTTATAAACGTTACATACTGCAGCTTTAAAAGTGTTTTCTTTAGAGCTGTCTCTTTTTCCTCCCAGTTTCCTTCATGACCGTCTCAATTCTGCAGAACAAGAACCAGACACAGCCACGGGACGCAGTGGGCTTGGAGGGCGAGGAGGAGGAGGAAGCCGGTGAGGAAGCCCACTCTCCGCTGGAGCAGGACAGTCTCATGCCATCTGATGAGGCCAGCGACTCGTTGTCCCGTGGCCGCAGGGGGAGCCCATGCCACACGGGGGTCGAGGAGGATGAAGAGGAGGAGGAGGAGGAAGAAGAAGAGGAGGAGGAAGAGGATGGTTGCGCCTCCCCCTGTCATGGCCGCTCATATAGGGACAGGTACCCCTCCCACCGAGGGCATCCGGGCAGCGACCACAGCGCCAACGGGCACGAATCACAGGACAGGCTGCTCCAGCGCGAAGCCCAGCAGGGCCACAACCAGAGGAACAACCGCCAGCGCAGCCGCCCCTGGCCCCGAGACAACTACTAGGACCAGCGCCCCCTTCTGGCCTCCAGGCCGCCACCAAGGCTCCCCTCCTCCCTGAGCCCCCTGGCTGATGCACAGATCCAAACACATTATTTAAAAAAAAAAAAAAAAAACTATCAAAAGTCCAACTCTATTGTGAATGGGTGATCTAGTTCTTATTCCTCCAGGCTCCTATTTTCTGTAAACTGAGATGAATGCTCGTCTCTCCGGGGTCAAACAGTTCCAGTTAAATTCATCAGGGCTATCCACCTCTGCAACAGAAAGGTTTCAGGCTACCAGCTGAATGCAGACTCAGACATTAGCTGCTTTGCCTAAAGGTTTCTCTATTGTAGGATGTCGCATATACTGGCCTTAAAATTCCTAAGACTTTTAACTATCTTTACTATTGCATGTATAATTATTTCAAGACGATTTGCACATTACGGCAGTACAGGAAGTGAATGATCTTTATGGAATAAACTAATGTAGGAATGTCCCGTGTTTTATCCATTTAGGGTTAATTGTAATGCATTTGAATACAATGTATATACTGAATGGCCACCAGGTTTTGTTTCATTGCTACTTTCTTTGTCTGATTTTTGTGGCTATGGGCAGATATTTCTTGCCATCCATTTGTACACGAATCACCTCATACGTCACCAACAGTGCAGTACGTTCTGGACATCCCTTGTCTTTGCTGTTGCACAATCACTGACACCTCTATTAATCTAGAAATGGGCAAACAGAATGTAAATACAACCAAGGAAGGGAATGTTCAGAGTATTCCAGGGGACAAATTCTTTGCCAAAACGTTTGTTTACATCAGTTCATTCACACATGTCAAGCACATGCTGCTGCCCAGCTGCAGCTCCTCTTGAAATCAATGCTTCACCGAATGTAAGCTCGCATGCCTTTTGCACCTCCAGCACCACCTGGTTTCTCTGACCTGACCAATCGCAACGTAATTCGATTGTAGCACGCTAACTGATTGTAGCATCCACACTTCCCGCACGGATCGTACCCTCTGTGGAAAACATGGCTTCATTTCTGTGAACACCGCAGTTTTAAAAGGCTGGTTTTTACTAAGGCGGATCCTCAGGTGTAAAGTCCTCAACTCCACATTACAAACTCGTCGGGCTTCGAAAAGACTCGTAGCACCCATGATGCCGTGTCTGTCCGTTCCTGTGCGGAAGGCCGGGAGAGTCAAAAACCTGACTTTTTGAGTGGAACTGCATGCCGTACACGCTGTGTTGCATTGTTTACATGTGGAAACAACATGGAAACAATGCATCAACGACAAAAAAAAATGGGTTTGTGGCCCTACTAGCATTCCATATAAATACTACTGTATGGAAAGCCAGAAAAGCCAAAAATATCTTTTTTTTTTTTTTTTGTAATACTTGCACATTTTCACATTGGGCACAGTTTATGTACCAAACACACAAGCAACACTTCAAAGGTAAAAAGTCACATGTTTGTTGCTGTATGGAAAGCCAGAAGGGACAAAAACATTTGACTTTTTTATTTAAGGCTATGTGTGTTGTTTGTGCATTGGTAAATGTTCTATTCACATTGTTCTTGTGTAAAAAATTTTATGTCAACAATTGTTTGTTTACATACAAACATTTCACCACAGATCAGACACAAATAGTCACATATTTTGGCAGTCCTGGCCTTCCTAAATCCCGCTCCATTTCCAGTCCACAAGCCAATGACTAGTTTGACGTGACACTGACGAACGACGACCCATCTCTGTTCCTACACAGGGTCAGTGTTTACTCGTTTACTGCTTCCATGTGTCAGAGGTATTTATCTAGTGTTCTGTATATTTAAAAGAGAAAAAAAATCAGCATGGTTTAAAAAAGAAAAAGAAAAAAATCTATGCAAGTGTTGCATGAATTTCTGATTGTTTCTTTTTACGGTTAAGTATTTCAGTAATGCATTAGTTCTAACTCCTCGTCGTCTTGTAGTGATGATAGTCTTGTCTTTGGGGCTACTCACTCCTCGCTACAGTTACAAACCCCTGAAAATTTTGTTTCCCTCTCCAAACGCCTCAACATGAGGAGATTTTACCACAATATTTGCTGGTTGCACTTTTAAAATCACTCCACAGAAAGAGAGAAAAAACAAAAACAAAGTCCCAGATCAAGGCTATGACAAAATGAGTGAGTCCTGCATGTCTTAGCTCAACAATTAGCTACTTTCAGTATATTTTGGCGGAGTATGTTTTTTGAAACGGACCAATTTAGCAACTGATAAAAGCAGTTGAGGTTTTTCAATTTTGAAGCACAATTTTTACAAGGGTTCTGATTTAATTTTCTGTCTTATTCTGTATGCAATATGAAGCCTAACATTGAAAAACTCTAAACGCCTTAGACCATCTGGACTTCCTCTTTTGTGTGAGTAGAAAAAAAAATTGCACTACTTTGTTTTTTGGGATGGTTGCTTTGTAATGCAATAACTGCACTAAATATAACCATGTATCCACCAGACTACCACAGCGTGCTAGCGTGACCCCAACACGCCTCTTCCCTTCTGTTTATCAAAAGAGACAGAAAAGGTGTAAAGAGTGAGACATTTCCTGCCTGAAGCTGTATAGAATGCTTTCTATTGGAAAACAGATTTACGATGCTAAGTGAAATATGACTTAAACTAAATAAACATGACATTTTATGTACTTTTAATTGTTTGAGTTGTGTGTCTTTTATAATACAAAGGAGAACCTTTACAAGTCAGTTGTTGGAATTGAAAAAGACTAGATATAGGGGTCTGCTTATATAAACATAAAGCCGAATACCACCAACTGCTTTGAGTTCTGTTTTTGAAAATGTCTTACTTATTTTCGTTTGTACTTGTGGGGCCGGCATAAAATGACCAGAGAAGAAAACGCTTTCAGTTATGATTAAGTTAAAGACACATGAGCTAAAACAGCTTCTAGAAAGTAGAATGGCTGCAAATAAAAGCAAGTGGAGGAAAAGATCATTTTAAATTCATCATGTGATAAACTGCGGACAATTGCATAATCCCAAACATATTTCTATTATTACTAGCTTATTTACGTTCCTTACATTTTCATCCAGCCTTGTTTGTAATTTCAGCTATTTTACACTTTTTAATTATAGATGTTGCTATAGAAAAGATAAATTATCAGTTTTTTTGTGATTAAACTGCCAAATTATCTACATAAGGTGGAAAATATCCATCTTATGTATATATTTTCTCGCGATTTTTCTCTTTTTAACTATATTTATACAGTGAATAACAAGAAATGCCGGTTTTAGCAGTTTTTACACATAATTACATTGAATTTTGACAACAGAATGCCACTAAAAGTTCCACTAATATGTTTTATAATCTATTTTTTTTAAATCATTAGGCTGGAAACTACACTTTTTTGTTTACATTGACACATAACTATTGACTGTTTTGTTTTAAACATACTTCCAAACTGGTGGTGTGATCTCTGCGGTTTCATCCACAACATTTAAACCGTTGTTTTCTATTTTCAAGCAGTTATGAAGCAGTATTGGTGATGGAACTTTGAACTGCTGCTGACCAAGTTTCTCAACAGGTCGTTGCTAGGTAACCAAAGAGTTGCTAGGTAACCTAGGAGAGAGAGTCGGTTGAAGCCAGCAGCCTTGAAGCTTTTTAGTTGGTTGTGAGAGGTTGGGCAGCTGAAGCATTTCATCTGCCTACATCCCCCAGAATGCTGTGCGGTTTGAATCGGAGTTCAGTGAAATTATTGAATATTCTGTCAGACGTAGTCAGGTCATACAAATGTTTAAAACATGGATTTAAACAGAGGGGACACATCCAAATCATAAGAAATGAACATTTAATCTGGTATTGGTCTCTTACATGTTTAGATCTGGAGAGGATCCAGATCAAAATAACAAATATTCACTAAACAGCACCTACTACTCAGCATCCTCAACACTGTCTGCTATTAATCACATTTTCTTTACTTGTACAGCGTTTCTGGGTCCACATTACTGATGTTATAAACAAATTTAGCAAGTAAAATTCATCAACCCGTTCACCTTTTGGTACCAAGTAATCTTTTCTTCCACAAACGGGCTAGAAGAAATAAAACACCAAAACGGAGGTAAAAGAGGGGAAGATGAATATACATGATAAGGAGGCATAAACTTGAAAGTCCTGTGTTCGGTACATAAAACTGAAACCAATAAATCAGGCGAAGATGGTCTCCTCGCGCCTCTTCTTGGTCAGGATCGTCCCAGGTTTGTGTTGGGCGTCTGGGTGGTTAGTGAGCTCCGGAGGGCAGGTGGACACCGGGCTCTCCAGGATGGCCTGCTTCAGGTCGTAGAACACCGCAGAGTCCTCCTTGGTCAGGAACGTCATGGCCACACCACTCTTACCAGCACGACCAGTACGACCGATACGATGGATGTAGTCTGTGGGAGAAGAAGTGAGACTCGGTTATGTTTCCGTTACTTGAGTAACCCAAAAAATGTTACTCAAGTAAGAACAGCACTACTTCAACGTATAACACACACACATAGTCTCTAGAGCTATGCATTTTAAATGTTGAATACTCAAGGTTTCCCCCAGAAAACTTGCTAAGCCTGGTGGTTGGGCGCTCATCTGTCCAGCGGCCCGTCGTGTTTTTCAGTTAAAAAATGTTTCAAATTGACAGGAAGTTTTAAAACATCACTTGATAATTATGTGTTATTGGAAGACTGGAAGATTAACACTAACTATAAAGTCTTAAAAAATGCAAACATTTTAAAACGACTCAAACAAAAGCAGAAGTAAAGCCTGGTGACCCGCCAGGCTTACGATACACTGGGGGAAAGGCTGATACATATTTAGCAATATACCGAGCGATACGTGTGTGTCCTTAAGACTAACACTGCTCACTCTTCTTTACTGCTGTATGTTTATTTTGTTTATTACTGTAATTTTTATTGTGTAATATGCTGGGACAAACAAAATATCCCTCTTCCCCTGTTTGGGGATCAATAAAATATTATTATTTATTATTGTATTTTTACTCAAGTAAGAGAAAAAAAGTGTTTGGTAAAAAAAAAATCTACTCAAGTCTTGAGTAACTCCTCAAGTTATCAGCATTTGGTATTTAAAAACTACATAATCAGATGGACCGAATTATAAAGTTAAGTGGAAATTTTGGTATTTTTAAAACCAAATAGTTACTGCCTAACTGTGGTGTCAGATGTCTTGTTTTGGAAACGGCCTCCTCACCTTCAATGTTCTTTGCCATGTCGTAGTTGATGACCATGGAGACGTCCTGGATGTCAATTCCTCGACCAGCAACGTCGGTGGCCACCAGGATGTCTTTGGCTCCAGCCTTGAGGTTGGAAAGTGCAAACTCTCTCTGCTCCTGGCCTTTGCCGCCGTGCAGCGTGCAAGCATTGTACTGAAGAGAGAAACGGAGGAACGTTGACGTGCTATTATACCATCCAGTCAGGGTTCCTGTTTATTTTGTTGCTCACATTAGAGACTCAGATTTATTCAGTTTTCTTTCTGTCTTACACATTATAAAGTGTAAATGTCCCCCTGATTTTTATTTTATTGACAAGGGTTAACATAAAGAGTCAACAAAAACAGACCCTGTTAGGAAATGGAGAAAAAGTCTGACAGAATGAGACAGAAAACAAACAAAAAGATGAAGGAGAAAGAAGGAAAAGATGATGTACAAACAAAGGGATGGAAAAATTTACAACAGACGAATAAATCAATGAAAGAGACTAGAACGATGGATAAATGGATAGAAGGAAGGAAGGAAGGAAGGAAGGAAGGACTTCTTCTACTGTCAGAAAACCGCCCGCCTGCTCCACAGTGACTCACCCCCATCTTCTCCAGGGACTTGGCCAGCACATCGCAGCCCTTCTTCTGGTTGACGAAGATGATGATGGGCGGCTCGAAGCCGTGCGACAGGACCTCCAGCAGCTTCTTCCTGCACAGGACAAAGAAGGAAACGCTCAGCGTGCTGCGGTTTCTGTGATCCTCGGAGGTCGTGTTGGTTTGCCTCTCACCTCTTCTCTCCCTCCGACATGAGCAGGACCTTCTGCTCCACTCTCTCGTGGGGTTTTCCTGCAGATCCGATGTACACCACCGCGGGGCGCCTCAGGTAGCTCCTCGCCAGCCTCTCCACAGCGGGAGGCATGGTGGCGGTGAACATGACGGTCTGCAAGACGCAATCATAGAGTTCAGAGAACGCCTGGCGCCGCCGGCGGCGTGGAGCAGAAAGATTCCCATACTTGTCTGTATTTATGTTTCCCCGACTCGAAGTTCATCATCATCTTCTCCGGGTCCTCGGCTTCGTCGGTGTCCGGTTTCTGATTGGTCACCGGGATGTACTCCAGAATCTTCTGGACGTCCGGTTCGAAGCCCATGTCAATCATACGGTCGGCTTCGTCCAGTACGACGTAGGTGCAGCGGCCGAGCACCAGGTAGCGGTTCTCCAACACGTCTATGAGACGACCGGGCGTTGCTATGACGATCTGTTAGAAGAGGAAAAACTCAGACATTTAAGAACCGAAAAGTTTCAGCTTCCTGGTGAAAGAGAAGGCAGGATTGCTTACAATGTCACAGAAAATTACAAAAGTAAGTCTGCGTATTAAGCAGCTTTTAATCAAACAAGATATTTCGTCTTCAGTTTATTTCATTCAGTTCTGACTTTAAAGATTGAATGTTTTAGGGGTTTTGTCAGTATTAATGTTTCACCTCGCAGCCCATCCTGAGTCGGAAGCCCTGGTCTTCTCTGGAGATTCCTCCGATCACCGCCACCGTTCGGATGCCAAGCGGTTTACCAAACTTGATGGTTTCTTCTTCGATCTGCTGAGCCAGCTCACGAGTCGGAGCCAAAATCACAGCGTAAGGCCCCTGATCGGAGTCTTCGATCCTGCCGCACAGAACAGATCACTGTAACCGGCAGGACGGAGGGGGATTGAAGGGTTTACTGAGGAATAATGAAGGATTATTTCTGCTACCTGTCGATCTTCGGCAGAGTGGTAATCCAGACCAGCAGAGGAATGAGGAAAGCAGCTGTTTTACCGCTACCCGTCTCAGCCACGCCGATGATGTCACGGTTCTGCAAGCCAATAGGAATGGCTTGCCTCTGAATAGGTGTTGGGTCCTGAAGTTTACAGAAGACACCAGTCAGCGTTACAGAAACCAGTGTTACACATCAGGGCAGGGTTGAGGACTTGAACAAACCTTATAGCCGCATTTGTCGATGACTTCCAGGATGTGAGCGGGCAGCGAATACTCCTTCCAGTTCCTGATGGGGTTGGGGATCTTCCCTCCCTTGGTGGTGATGCTGTAATCCTCCCTGAAGATTCGCCAGTCTCTGTCCGTCATCTCGTCCAGCTTCTTCTGGGACCAGTGCCGGTCGTCCCAGCGTTGCTTGGCTTCCTTCTTTCGCACCTTCTTCAGTCGTGTCCTGTTGGGAAAACGATGTGAGATTCCTTCAACCAGACAGTTTACACCATTTCATATCATTATACTCACTCTTCCTGCTCCTTCTCTTCCAGCGTACGCCTCTTCTCCATCAGGTCGCCGTAGAAACGTGACTGCTCTCTTTTCTGCTGCTTCAAGTCGATGCCAGCGATGAACCCGCGCCCATAAAGCTGCACCTGATGCTTCTCTTTGTAGCTGCAGGGAGAAATTAAAATCTAACATTTAAACCTGGAAAGAAACATTCACTAACCCACTCAAGATAACTTTACAATCCGCTCACATCGGGTTGTAGTCGACTGAAGTGTCTTCAGAAGCATCCCACTCAAATACGAACTTCCTGTCGTTCAGGTGGCGAGTTCTCCGGCGTTTTTTGATTCCACCCAGATATCGTTCCTGTAATTAGGTTAAACTATTACCATGTCTCATCAGTTTAGTTTCACATTCATGTTTACTGTAAAAATATGGAACCACAGCAAAAAAAAAAACAACACATTTTAGACCCAGAAAACCTAAAAACCTCTAGGTTTTAGTATTTTCTTTGAAAGCAGATAAGTACTTTTATAAGTACTATTTTGGGCTTTATCTCTCCAAGTAGGAAAGGCGTAAAAGTCATACTGATCTAAATAAGAGAATGACTCCCTTTTGATGGAAACTAGATCTGCACAATATATTCAAATCACCATCGCAGTGTCAGTATGCGCAATATTCACGCTGCTAAGGACTGTTTGGAGTGCAATAACTGTTGAGTTCCTCATGTGTTTTTTTGCAATATTTAGTCAGTAGGACAGGAACGCATGTAATTAATTTTTAATCAAAATAATGAAAAACCTAAACTAGGATGATTTTGTTGTTAAAGGCCTAAATATGGTTCAACACTCACCTTGAGTGTCATGTTAAATAATTTAATAGTAAAAATAATTTAAATGCGGCCCTCTCTTGAGCCTGGTCTCTTGAAACTAACCTTGATGGCATGGAGCTCTTTGCTTTTGTCTTTCTCCTCTCTGAGTTTTTGTCTCCCATCATCTTCATCATTCCCATTGTTCTCTCGCTCCATTCGCTCTCTGCGCTCCCTTCTCTCCCTTTCTTGGGGATCCTCTGTGAGAAACAGATCTCAAATCTCACAAACATGTTTCCAGAGCTTAGCACAAGAACGTAACATTTTCAAGCTAAAATGTGAAACAAACCAAGCATTTTTCTCCCAATGTCCTGGAACATTCGTCTTTTCTTTCTTTCCTCGTCTATCAGCTTTTTCCTTTCCTCCACCTGCTGCTCTCTGCGCTTTATAGCCTCAGCTTCTCGCTCTGCTCGAGACAGAAACTTTGGCTAAAAACAAAGCAGATAAAGTTAAAGTACAATATTAAAAATAAAATCTGTGAAAGAAAATAAATATGCAGTGAAAATTCTCACTTTTGCCTCGGCTTCCTCCTCTGCTTTTTTCTTGGCCAGAAGCTCCTCCAAAGAGAGGGGCTGAACCTGAGACACACAACATCATGTAAATCATAAAACTTTTAAAGAAAAGAGCACTCGGTCCATAGATGCTGCACGAATAACAACATTTCTACTTCAAAATATGATGGAAAATGTTTTTTCTTTGCCAAGTTTTAAATTCCTTACAGCAATTCAGCTTGACAGTTTTATTCAATTCTTGCAAACAGAAGCATGATTTACAGCAGTGATCAGAAATGAGATAAGATCTGCAAAGCAAATAAACTAAATGAAAACACGAGTCCTGTGTTTTCATTTCATTACCTTCTCCTTCTTCTTTTTGTCATCTTCTTCTTCCTCTGTTTTTATATCCTTCTCCTTCTTTAACTTGCTGTCCCTTGACTTTGGTGACAGGCTTCTAAGAAAACAGCCACATGACAGTTAGATATTTTACACAAAACTTTCATATCCTCATCATCTCCTAAACATCATGGAAGCTGGAAGATTTGTTAAGTCGGGAAGATCAAAAACAGCCAAATTTCACTTTGACCCCGATCTCTTAAACTCATTTTGCCTTTTATGCCAATGCAACATATCTAAATTACCTGTAAACACCTCAACAAACAGTGTATACTTTGATGCACTTAATTTATCTTTAATCATAAATAAATGTTTGGAACATATGATTTGATATATAAATGTGGATAATCTTATAATTCTTCATTTTGTGTTGGATTGACAAACAGTGTCTCTATCAGGAAAGCTACAAAATATTTTAAGGTTGGTGTTTGCAATTGTATGTGCTGAAAAAAAACAAAGTTTACAAACATTAGTTTGTGCAATAATAGTATTTCAGGATCTAGCTTAGAGCCAGCCAAATATGAAATCAGACACTGGTCGATGCATTTCTTAAATCTTAATATTAGCAACACTAAGATTTGGAAATAACAGTAAAATAAAAATAAAAGCAGAATTTCAGAGGAAGATTTTAGGTGTTTTTTCATGAAAAGAAACAACAAGTCACGAAGGTTAGGTGGAGATTGGGTGTGTAAATCTTTAGAAATGATAAATTTTAAGTGAATTTGAGACATTTCCCTTGAATGTATAATCATATTTTAAAGAAATTCCTTTAAAAATATATTTTGTGTGTTATGGTCATGCAAAGAAAACCCATTTACAACACATATTTTTGTCAGGATTGGCAGTTTTTTTAGTTATATTTGGTTTCTCGAATTTTTTTGCAAAAGTGTTCATATTTTTACAGTAGGATCATGATGTCTCACATTTGTGTTTTTCATACCTTGATCTCTTGCGATCTTTATCGCGCCGATGGCTGTCTCTGTCTTTGCGGCTCCTGTCTCTGTCTTTGTCTCTGTCCCGATCCTTGTCTCTGTCCTTATCTTTCATGCGACGATCCCTTTTTATTGTAACACAAATTAGAAAGAAGCAAACAATCCATGGTATATGTACATAACAATTTAAGTTTTGTTTGTGTCACCTGTCTGGAGATTTGGAGCGGTTTCGTTCACGGGAACGATGCCGTTTACGTGAAGGTGATCCTCTGCGATCCCGATCACGTGAACGGCTGCGTTTCCTCTCCCGGTCTTTGTTCCCTGATGATTCGGCATCCTTCCTATCTGTGTCAGCAGCCATCTGCAAGTTAAAAAAGGCGCAAGTACATGAGTGAAGTTTTTCCAAAGCATTTTAGCCTTGAAATACAAGAATAAACATCCAGGACCAAATTTAGAAAATATAACTTTAAGTACCTTTTCTTTATTGTTCTTTATTTCCATTCCTTACTTATGAACAAAAACGTATCCTTGCAGTGTGGACTAAAGTAGTTTGAATAGTATTTAGTAAAAATACCATCTGGGAAAATAAAGGCAAAAACGTGGTCATCTAAAATAGCTAAACAGATGTTTATTCTGGATTTCTACATTTATAGACACATTTCCGAATTTCTCTGTCAGTTTTTGACCTACATTTTATATAATAAAATTTCGTCAAAAAAGGCTGTGTCCCTTGTAACAAGTGGACGTGTCATAATTTAAAATAAATCTTTAAGCAAGATGATAACGGGTAAAATACATAAAGTAATTACAAAAGTACTACAAAACAGCGCAACCATACTCAACAATAATAGCATAACGTCTCCTGTATGATACAGACAGAAGGTAAGGTAAGGTCATTTTATTTATATAGCACATTTTCAGAAGACATTTTCTGTAATCTCGTTTGGTATTAAGGCATGTCTTTCAACAAACACGAAACTACAGTGTAAAAAAAGCAGTATTATAAGGATGCTGTCAAAATTTAAATAAACGAGAACAAACGAGTAATTTTACTTCTGTAGTGAAAACGTCAGAAGTTGGCTAGCTAAAGGCTAAACGAAGATTATATTTTTCTCCCCCCCCAAAAAAAAACTACTCAACTGCGCAAAACTGAGACTACTTTACCTCCAGCTGTGAGCAGAGAGAAAAAAACACCAGGAGAGATTAACTATAACTAAACTCACACTCTCCTTTTTTAGCTTGTCAACAAAACACCAGCGATCTATCGACGATTCAAGGAGACGCCATAATGCTCTGCACGAGCAGAACGAGCAAAGGTTTCTGGGATGTGAAGTCCAGGGTGCTGTTGTTAGAGTGAGACAATCTCTTGTGGAAACTACATTGTCCATCACGAAGCAAAAACTCTGTAAGGACCCCAGTTGTTTAGCACACGGACGCCTAAGTGCCTTCTTTAAAAGACTTGTGGTGCGTTATCATGTTTGGTTATCATATACTTAAAAGTCGCATTGTTCGATTTTTTGAGATGTCAAAAATCGATTACTGCATATTGATATAAAAGGGTTGATTTTATAACTGTAAAATTCTTATTGAAAAATAGCACATCTGCTTCCAAACTGAGTGTTGCTATAATAACAGTGGCACTAAAAGGTACATTCAACTAATTTTGAATAGCTGTTTTTGACAGTGAAAAGAGATCACTTTAGTCATATTAACAGCTTTCAATGAGAGAAAAACTGAATATGATCTCCAAATCAATATAAGAAAGTACAACTACTGCGATGTACAATGTTTTTAATTACATTAATATGAAAATATATCCAACCACTAAGTTTAATACCTTTTTGATGTTTAAACTGTACAATGGCACAAAAGAATGTTTTAGAGGTGAATGTGAAACCCTTTAAAAACCTGTTATTATTATTATTATTATTATTATTATTATTATTATTATTATTATTATTATTATTATTTCAGTTTAATTTGTCTTTCTAATCATTTGTAAATTAAACACATCATGTGTTAAGCTGAATTTATCTGTTTGGCCACCAGGTGGCGACAATAAATTACAATATAGGACCTTTCTTGTCTTCCTTTCCTCATCCCTTTCTTTCCTTCTTGCTTTCGTTTTCTTTCTTTCAACAAATGACAATTTCAAAATTTCTCACGATTTTCACGTACTTATTCAAGAGGTTGATAATGGCGTTATTTCTGGATGGACAGAAAAAAGTGTTCAATAATTTTTACTTTAATTAATTGACGGGAAAACTAAATTGTGACATTTAACAAGTACCATACCATACCAACTTTATTTATAAAGCACTTTAAAACAACCACAGCTGATACAAAGTGCTGTACATTAAAACACAATAAAAAAAACAAAAACAAAAAAACCCAACTCTTACAGTTTAAAAACAAACATACAATTTAAAACTAGATCCCGCTGGAGTTGAAAGCCAAGTAAAATAGGTGGGTTTTAAGACGAGCTTTAAAAGTGGACAGTGAAGGGGCCTCTCTGGCCTGCAAAGGCAAGTCGTTCCATAACTTAGGACCCATGACAGAGAAAGCCCGGTCCCCTCTGAGCTTCCTTCTGGATCTCGGTACCTCCAAGAGCAGCTGATCTGCGGACCTGAGAGACCGATAGGGTATGTAGGGGTACGTCAAAGATTCAGAATGAAAAATAATTTTCTGCCAACATTGCCTGGATTCCCAGAGTCTGGCAAAAAGAAACACAACACAATACTATATTGTAATGCAGACCAGCAGCCATGATGATGAAATATCCCTGTCTGCTCTGTACACACAAGCACCATCCTTTGCAGCAGATTAAAATTCAAGAACTGCTGTCTTCCCAGGAATCCATTTTTTTTCTTCTTCTTGTAATTTAAAGCAGTCTTTTCTCTCTCTCCCTCTCTCTCTCTCTTCCCCTCTCTCTCTCTTTCTCTCTCTCTGTGTGTGTATGTGTACAAGCTACTGCATGTAGATAAAAGACATGTTAGATGCTGCTGTGTTTGAGTCAGGATTGGCTCGATCACTTATTCATATTCTGGACCTTCCTTTCCTTCCATCCTCAGATCAAAGGAGATTCATGGAGCCCTTCTGAAGGTGAACAGTTTCAGTGGAGACGATCAAAACTAATGGTGAAAAAAACAATTGTTAAACGTACATAAAAAATGAAAAGCTCCTGAAGTTGAAAACAACAGACTGGTGAGACCAAAAAAGTTACAGATTATTAGTTAACTGGATTTTACCCCACGTAGTTGCTGAAAGACAACAAGGATAAAAGGCTGACTGTCTTGCTGCACATAATATGTTCAATAAATTCTACACAACAGATTTATTTTATACAGTTTGTGTTCTTGCTGGGAATAGAAGCCCAGCAGCTGCTTCTTGAGCATGCAACAAGTGTTACATGCATGTTGCACACAACATGTGTTTTACATGCAACAAGATAAGTTACCTGTGGGATTCTCGTCTTATTGCACGACCAAATCTGGCCCAAGTTTCAGCTGGTGTACAGATGCTGCAAACTTAAGTTATGTGATCTGAGGAGAAAACAAAAAATGAAAACTGCGACATTTATTAGGGTCATATTCAATAAGTTAAAATATGAATTCAAATTAGGCTTGTTGGTCAGATTAAAATTACATTATCAGAAAAACAGTCTTTAAGCAGGTATTAAATATACTTTTTTTTATTAAGATCACACACCTTTATTAAAAATGTTTTATTGGTGTTAAATATTTTGTTTTCACTACCTGTAAGCAGGAAATAGTTACATAAATAAAAGCTGAAAACATCCGTCTGTGTGTAATTAACACTTGAGTTGCTGAAATAAATGAACTTTTCAGTTATGTTTGTCTTTATTTATTTGTTGCGTGTACTCAAGTCCTGTATACTCAGCAGATAGTTCACCTAATGAGTCTCTTTTGTTGTCATTTTGTGAATTGGAAGCTGAAAACTGTGTGGCTTTGAACCATTTATTTATTCTGCAGTGAGAAAGATCAACTTAAAATTCAGGACAGCTTGGTGTTCCAAAACAAAAGCAAATTTGTTAAATGTTTTGCTATAAATTACAGAGTGTTTAACCTAACATTGGATATTATTGGCTGTTACATCACTCTGATCAATAACAGCTCGCCACTGATTACAGTATCCAGGGTTGCTTAAAAATAATTCAGCTCCTTTGGAGTAAACCAGTGTAGCTGCAGCATATTTGAATAACATGCACAGTAAATGTTCGGCCCCCAGTAACAGGCTTTAGCTGGATTCAGATCATTGGCTAACGCAGATATGATGGGGTTTAGCTGTTCCCCAGCTGTACAGCCTTTATCTAAAGCATATCCCTTAGATCTTAACTAAAGTCGACCCCGTATACCGAGGTACCTCAGCTGCCCCCAGCACTGGGACCCCCTACCCCCCTTTCCGTACTTCTGGATGCCAGGCATAGTTGCCTAATTAAGCTGCTGTGGAGCGTTCACTCTTGACATGCCCTCAGGGCATGCAAAGCAGGGCACATGTGCAGGATGAGGGAAGGGGTGGAGGTTAGATCTGTAGAAGGTGAGCAGAGCCATAAAATATGGGGTTCTGGCAGAAAGGTTGAAAGAGGAGGCAGAGGGGGTTGGAGGGCAGAGGAGACCCACCAAGGGAATTTATTCCACTCTGGCAGGGACATGATGGGGCAGGGACATCCTCTTCTTAGCATGTATGAATCTGGCTCACCTTGCTACGATTAAAACTAAGAAAATTTGCAGAGCACATGAAATAAACTGCTTAGCATGCGCCACAATCATACGCAAAATCACATTTACACATGGATGCCTCTAGCTGCAAATACGGACTTTATAAAAGCACACATGAACTGATAATTAGACCATCCCGAGCTGAATTGACCCAGTGACACATATTACCCTCACACTCATTGACTTCTGGCACATTTTTGCATTGCAAGATGATGTTAATAGAGCATAATTTAGTTAGTATTAACACGAGTCCTCAGGCTGCAGGACTGAAGACGGCGAGCCAGCAGTCTGTCAGCTGTCTGATGCTCTCACATTGAGGCAACTTTGAAATAAAAAAAAAAAAATCATAAATATGCGAATGGACTTATGAAACAAAACTTCAGCTTCAATAAGTCCTGTGAAATCGGAGCGGGTCAGCTCTGATTTTTATCATTTCTCTGGCAGTTATGGGGCAGTCAGTCTGGCCTTCTTTTTTTTATTTGTCTGCCCTTTTTTGATGAAAGACAGGAGAAACAAACTATGACATGACTTGACTTTGACAGCTTGTATTTTGAGAAGATATGCTGGCTGACCTTTTTGGAAAATATTTCGCTATTTTATTTCATTTCCCAGGACAGGAAGATTGATCGCACTCTCATATCACTCATGGAAAACGTAAAGTGCCTTTAAAATATTTCACATCCAGCCATGTTACAACCACAAATAAGTAAACACTCTAAGCACTCTAATTATTTATTTCTGATTGAAATCAGTGGCTGGATTTGTTTCAAGTTCACAGCACTTTTTTTTTTTTTTTTTTACATTTCTTTAAAATGTTAAAGTAAACGATAATAATGTCATTTTGATAGCAGATAGCAGTTTTAACTAAAATAAAGATAATAATAATGCAAGTTTTCCCTCCCAAAGATTAATACAATTTAATTTTGAACAGAAATTGGAAGATGTTTTAAATATCCAAAATAAAATACAGAAACCAAAACCAATAAATTAAAAGGAACACACAATTGAAATCAAAACTAAAGTAGTTTATAATGTCTCTGGAAACAAACTTGCTCTTCAAAAAACATTAAGAATCAGAATGGAAATCATTGAGATTATTTTAATTTATCATCAAATTAATTGCAACAGGTATACCTCCAAGATAAGCAATTTAACAACACAGTTGTTAAACTGCTTCTATTTATCTCTTGCATATAGTACCTTGATTATCAGCAATAAAACAAGCTGAAGAATCAAAATAAAGAAACATGGAAAGACACGATGGAGTCGATGTTCCTTTGACTGAGCCGCAGATAGTCAAAGACGACTCTAATTTTCTCTCTTCCTCGCCTGGCTGAGACGTTGACATGCACTCCTATTTCGCACACAGAGACAGGAGTTACAACACTGTCAGAGCAGCTGTGACAGAGCCTGCTGCACGAAGGAATGCTACCCATATGTCAGGCTGCAGATCGCTCGTCACCAGCAGCCAGGCGGCAAGGCTTTTTCAAGCCCTCCACCCCCTCATCATCTTCTTTCTGCTGCTTCTGCTGCAGTGTGAGGCACGTCTGAGGGCTTGATTGCGGGAATGTGTGACCCTGCTTCTTGTGTGTGTGTGTGTGTGTGTGTGTGTGTGTTATTTGCACCATCCCGTCTGATAGATTAAGAGATTACGTGCCAGTGAAAAATGCCACAAAGCAACCTTCTTGTCTAAATTTCACAGAGGGCTTCAGATGGCAGAAGTCTTTTTTTTTCACCCATGCCTCTTTTTATGAACGTCAGGACTTCCACCTTCTCTGTTGGAGGTTAAAATGCTAGCTGAGAAGAGGGGACACACGTCAGGTCGACAGAGATCAATCGGGAACAATCCTGGTCGTTGGTTCATGTCAAACATATCAGAGTAATTCTGGTTTTCTTTGTCCTGTTCAGGCCGAATTTCAGGCTTGAGCTTATCGTCAAAACCTACTGTAGATGTCAAATTCAACATTTTGTTTTAAAATATGAACCTCTAAGAGACACACGTCGTTTCATATTATCTTTACCAAAGAAGCTGAGTCTCTCTTCATAGATATCATACTGACCTGTTTGCATCATTTTAACTGATTCATAATCTCTGAAAAAACTTTATCCAACAAGTTGCCCATGTTGGACAACATTAGCAAATAAACATGTCCAACATGTTCAGTTTTGTTCCCCCAAACTAAAGTGTGACTCAGAATGAGGTTGATAAAACTTAAATTTTTGTCTCCTCAGCTCAAGATTGAGATCAAATCTAAAACTTGCAGAAAATGTTTATTCTGATGACTAGGTTACAAGTCATAATTTTAAAGTGTGTTTGTTTTGCATTTGTATATGCTATTATCATGTCACTCATCTGTTCTCCATTCAGTAAGAACCTTTCCTATACATACAGTTGAAACAAGATGATTGCGTACAATGTAGCTTTTTTCCCTCACAGCCTGATGTCAAATCAGACTAAACTTTTCCTGTTTTAGGTCACTTACACAATTTATTTCTATTTGTCTAATGCTCAGTATAAAAGATCAAAAACATTTCAAAATATTTCTCCACCATTTTATCAACAATAGAAGAGGTTGCATGTTTTTGGAACAACAAAGTATATTAAGAAGTTGTTAAAGTGTTTTTATTGCTTAGCCATAGTAGCATGCATATCACATCTGCATATTTAAATTTGTAAAAGCTCACCTTCATGCTTTTTTGTCTGAGCTGCTTTTAAAGATTCATTCAACCTGTTTTATAAAAGCTAAGGAACTCAGGTACTGATTCATTTACAGTACATGTGTTGTGACATTTTTTCCAAGAATATTTTAACACCACAGTATTAAGAAAAAGACAGAAAGCAGACGCTTTTGTGAAAGGACAGTGACAGGACTGGAACCACATGGATGTGCCAAACTGCATAATCACGCCCTGAAGCGACAGGTTTGTCATAAGGCTATCTGATTTAATGAGACATGTAACGTTCTTGATAAATGATTTGGGGAAGCATAAACGGCAGGAAGAGATAGGACAGAGGGGTACAGAAAAGCTCTGCTTGTCTAAAAGACGATCAAGCAGCCGTTCTGCTTCAGCAGTATAAAATCAGCCTTGCAGCAGCAAATATGAAATTTATCGGAGGTTGCTGATTCCACCAATTGGCCTGCCTGCTGTTGTGTAAAGGTAGCAGATAAGCTGTATCCTGTGTGATAGCTCAGGAATGGCAAACATTCAGGCCACTTCATTTCATCGGAGTGCCGACGGAGACAAACTGATAACGGCAAAGATCTGGCAAGTCCTGTGGAAGACTGCAAACACTGTGACAGAGCAAATGATGGATGGCTGAGAGGAAAGAGAGAGGAAGAGGCGACAGAAACATAATATCAAGGGAATTCTTTACCTGAAAGGAAAGTTTTATAATATTTAGGATAAAACGATGAAAGTTTTACTGCGACACTCCAAACAGTAAAGTTTTTCCATCCCTTCTTTTTTCCAAAGTATAAATGAAACTACAGTTTTCTTTCATGAATATCTGTCTTTTATGTTTTCATTATATTTTTTCTATTTTTTATGCAGTCTTTTCTACCTCAGATGCAACACAGCAATTAAAGGCTTAACTATTAAAGGTTTATTCTGAAAACAGACATGCATTACACAGCTTTAAAGTCATGCAACAGGATTTGCGCATAAACAAAACGACTTGGATTCAGCTGCTGTTTAGTGAATATGTATCTTTCTTTTTTTTTTTTTGTATAAATATGTAAAATGTCTTGCAAAAATATTCACACCCCTCAAATGTTTTCACAAAAGATCATGCTAAAACCATGAACTTGAAAGGATTTTTATTAGAGTTTCATGTATGAATGGTTTGGTTAATTGTCGTCCTAAAAGGAAACCTCTACGGCAGTCTCAAATTTTTTTAATAACCATTTAGCAAGTTTTCTTCCAGGATTGCTTTGCATTTTACTCTGTCCATCTTCCTTTGCCCTTGATTAGAAAATGAAGATATATTATCAGTCATGCTGAAGTCAAAGCAGACAATGTGCCACCAAGCTATCAGCTACTCACTCCAAAAGAGCCTTGAGTTCAAATAAATCCCCAAAATAGCTTTTTGCTCTACTTTGACAGTTTCTGATAAGTTTCTAACCGACTATGAACTTACAGAAGAGTTAATGTCTCGACTCATCATGCATGAAAAGTGTTGAATATATGTAGCATTTCTACACTTCCTATTTTTGTCGTTTTCATATATTTTTCAATTGAGATTGGTGGTTTTAACCCAGAAAATAAACATTCTAACATAAAAACTGACTTGATCTCATAATATGTTGATCAAATGTTTATCTTTTATTGATTTATCACAGAAGTAACACTTGTAAACGAAATTCAGGCATATTTACTTAAATGAAACTTTTAAAGACGGTATAACAATAACAAATACAGGATCTTGGCAATAATTTAAGCCATGAGAGGCGACTTCATACAAGCATGTTGTTTTGCTTCAATAACATTCCTCTGTGGAAGTAAACAGCTATATGAAGAAGATTATGTACAAAACAAATCTGGAAAACAAAAAAGAGCAAGAGAAGCCATGAAACAGTGTAATTATAATTAGTTTGGGATGTTGGGATGCTCCAGTCAGCACAGAGAGGTTAAATAAGCACAGCAGCACAGCTTGAAGATTCACATTTAAAAACTTGGTGTTGCCTCCAGTCTAAAGCAGATGACTGCTACTAATACGGGAGGCCTTTCACTGCAAAAACACAACACTTTACCAAGTATTTCTGGACTAATTTCTATTGCAAATATCTTAGCACACTTGAAATAAGACAAAAATAACTCCTAGGTAACTTTTCAGCAAGATATAAGAGATTGTTTTAAGTAAAAAACTCCTTAATATTGATTAAAACATTCCAGTTCCACTGGCAGATAATTTCACTTATAACAAGACATTTTTCCCATGACATATGTATTTTGTATTGATCTAAAAATAAAAAAGGCAAGGGAACAAATGCATACATAACCAAGAAAAAATAATTTGTTTACTGGTTCTTTTCTGTTTGAAAAGTAGTAGTAATAATTACCAAAAACTTGTAATTAAAACCATGTCATAATATTCAAGTCCTTGTTCAATATGGTAAAGAGTCAACAATAAATTATATTACAGAGACAAAATGGTTACAAACTAACTCTCATGAGACAAGAAAATGTATGGATAATACTAACAGTAGCAATGACAATAACAACCTGACATACAGCCAAGGTTCTCTGCATAACGTGAGTAACACAGGCTGTGCTCACACTACAGAATAAAGTGACCCAATTCCGATTTTTCATCAAATCGGATTTTTTCCCAGTGTGAATGGGCAAACGACCTGAAAGTGTCCCGCATGCGCAGTAGAGGGCGCAATAGCGTCAGCGTTCTCGGTGTTCTGCCAACCGCCATAAAAAGAAGAAGTGCTCTATGTTTGCGGAAGTAAACATGGAGGCTAACGGTGGAGCATAGCTTACACATTTGAAATTGTTTTCTGACGGAACCAGCATATTAACAACTTAATCCTCATTAAAGTCCGTCATGATTGTTGTTTATCTTCCCGCTTGCGCGTATCAGGACGCAGAACAGTGACGTTTGTCGAGTATCAGTGACGTTCAGGTGAGATGGACGTCAGGTAATGTTTGTATCGGATACGTATCGGAAATCCGACCTGTGTTGTTCAGACTGTCATGAAAAGATCAGATACAGCTCACAGTACGTTAAAAAAAAAAGAAAAAAAAGAAAGAAAGAAATCGGAATTGGGTCACTTCAGGCTGCAGTGTGAACGCAGCCATAGCTTTGTATTTATTTTTAAACTGGTTGATGCTTAGACATTTTATCTTCATTGGCAGATAATTTATCTAAGCCATGATTAATTTTATTGTTATTAATTAATTAACATTAATTAATTAATATTATTATTATTCAAATTATCATCTGTCAATGAAACTAGTACTTATTCATCAAAATTAAGGAATTATTGACTCAAAACAAGGTCCTATATCTTAATGAAAAGTTACTCGTAAGTTAGTGTTGTCTTATTTCAAGTGTACTAAAATATTTACACTAGAAACTGGACCAACATTACTTGGTGAGATTTTGTGTTTTTGCAGTGTTCCAACCAGAAAACCCATGTTGAAGACACAGCTTCTCCCTGATATGTCCCGCCGTCACCTTCGCTGAGGCTTCAGTTTAAAGATACATAGAAAAGGTGAGGTGCGCTTCTCTCGGAGACATCACCCCTCCTCTCCGTCGGAGATATAGGCATGGCCCTTGCTCACACTGTTGCTAGGCAACGCATTAAATTCCGCCGCTGTGCACATTGCTGCGCTTCCCGGTGCAGACCTACAAATCATCAAGCCCTCCATTAGCCAAGCTGTCAACAGCTTAATGCCAGGAGACTCCAGTGAACACAACGCCAGAGAAAACAACAATAAGCAAAACATCCAGCAAAAAAAAGTATCAAATCTTCTGCTTTCCGTAATGATTGGAGAGAAAGAAAATACAGACAGGACCAGTCTGTTCGAGGGATTCAACTCGTGTTTTGTTCTCATGGGATTTACTCTATTGCAAATTAGTCCTGTTAGTTTAAATATACAGAGTTTATATGAGTTTGTGTTGAATAAAGTCTCAATTGGGCATTGAGGTGACATAGTTTGTATTCTTGCATAACAGAGCTGAGTTTAGTGCAGGTATATGAAAATCTTTTGTTTCGTTTTTAAAATTTGAGGAAAGTCTTGATTATTTCAGTGAATTTCTGGATGTTAGCAACCAGAAATAGGCATTTTATTTTCACAAATTGAAAGAGTTTAAGGTATCAGGCAAGATGTTTCTCTTCACAGAAGCATGCAGCACAAACTCCAAAACCTAAATGACAATGGCAGGAAAAAAAGTGATAGCCCATGATTTTTGAAGTGGGATTCTGTAGAAGGTTATGAATAATTCATATTTCTTCTGCAGTTCTCTCACCAACTACCGCTGCTCCTGGAGACTATAGAAAACAGCTAATCAGAGGAGCACTTCCAACTTTTATTATCTTAAAAATCTCACAATAACAAAAATGTCATTGTTGTTTATGCAATGCTATGTTATTAATCTTTAAATTCTTGTGATATTTGTTTGAATGTTTGGACACAAAACTTATGTTTATTTAAACAAGTAGAAAATGGAGGTTTCACTGTATTACTTTTTTATAATTTATTCTGAGAGGAAAAATTTTCTCAGTATATGTTTTACAGGGAAGCTAATTGATGGCACGCCAACTCCATTCTCTATTTCCAGCGTAAATAACCATAGCTCATCTATAAATAACCATCAATGCAAACTTGACAGTAGCTCAAAAGTTTATAAACTGGTATCTTCACAAACCAATGAAACATTTTTTAGAGGAGAGTTTTTAAGACTGTGGAAGCCTGCGTTGTGCTTACTTATGCTTGGACTAGCAGTTAGCTTTAGCGTCTGTTACCAACTAGTCTAAATTCATACAAATTATGATGTGAGGGTCATCAGATCTAAAGATGAAAAATCTTGTAATGACCAATGTTTTTTAGCCAGGTCCCTAATAACAAAACTCTTTGGTGTTAAAGTTGTTACAGAGGGGGAAAAAACTGTTTCCATGTCTTCAGTTCATTCAGGCTATGAATGAGAGCAAGATTTTCAGCAGATAACAGTAAGGCTGACGACTATTATAGCTCATGATGAATTTTCAAATGCTAGCAGGGTTTCAGAAATCACAAGACTTAATCTTGTAACAGAACTTGCTTCAAAAATTCTGAACTTTCCCTTTAAGAACAAGAAGGATTTGGATGAGGATGACACAGTGTTGTTGTGTTTACTTTCAGCTCTTTGCTACAATATCCTACATTCTGTGGAGTATGAAAGGCAAAAAACATGCAAAAAAAAAAAGATTTATCAAGTTTAGTTTTATTTTGGGGTGCTAAATGATTATTCACTGGTGTGAAGTTTTCTGGCCAGGTTTCAGGACAGCAGGTGTAATGAGTAGATATTTGTAGAACCAAGCTGAACAATTGTTCCCCTTATTGGCCGTGAGAAAGAGTATTTCTGAAACATAGATAATCCATAGACTTATTTTGGAGCACACAAAAAAAAATCCTCTTTTCTTGGTCTCTTCTATAAAAAAAAAGACTAAGAAAAAACTAAACAAAATGAAAATTGAACCCATTAAACAGTCTGGAAATATCATTCCTCCATGTAACAGCACTAAAATAAATACCAATGGTTGCTGAACTCGTGTGGCGATGGTGCATGGCAGAGAACCTCCTGAAGACAGGTGGAAAGTATTTAACAAAATGCATCCACCCTTTTCGACCTTGCGGCTCGTGGTAGTGCTGAGTCACATTGCACTTCTTCACAGACTCACTTTGTCCTCCCACTGCCTTCTGCAAATGAGCGCACCGCTTGCCAAATCCCTCCCTTTTTGTCATCTTTTTTGTTCTGCTGTCAACTTTAATTTCAAAATATATATTACGGCGAGGGCTCTGGTGGGGGTTATAATTTCTTAAGATCCCCTCAGCGAGGTTTCTGCAGATGCAGCTTCATTCTCAAATTTTACGTTCTCATCACTCAGCCCATGCTGTGACCTTTAAAAGACATCCAGACAGAGAGATGGATGGGATACGGCACTGCTATCAGAGCTTTAAATGGATTTCATCACTTTAATGGAGAGGATACAACGCTTCCTTCATGGACGAGCTAAGGTACGGAGCATTGTTAAGCTGATTCACAACAACCTTTATGTGGGGCTGCAACATGTTACTCTCCATTTGTACAGGATCATGAAACTCCACTTCAAATAGTTTCTCTCTGTGGAAACTGTGGCAGCCTGGAGTTAGAGGAGGATGATGCAAAAGAGTAAAAAGTTTTGTGAAAATCTTGACGATTGCTCTCTTTCCCTTGCACACCCTGAACCCCACCTGAACCAGGTGGAGTGCTGTTCTCTCGTCCTCTCTTCCCGTACTCCGAGCACGCTCCTCGCTGTGTTCACATGATGGAGCAACTTTTGGACTTGTCCTTGCTAAAGGTGGAGGAGAGGAGATCCGTCTTGTTGGGGAGGTGTAGCAGTCTTTTGGAGAGGCGTCGGACCGGGCTGGGCTTGTCGGGAGGCTGTAGTTTGTTCATGCAGGCCAGAGCTGCAGTACGGAAAACACTGTGGATGCTCTTTTCCGAAGTAAAAGCCGAGCACTCCAGATAAGCTTCAGCTCCGAGCTGCTTGGCCAAAGATGAACCCTACAAAATGAAGAGGAGTGTTTTTTTTAAATAAAGTGTTTTTTTTTTTGTTTTTTTTAAAGTTGGTGGTTACCATGGCAACCAGTAACTGACAGCTCCTCCCCCTTTTTCCAGTTGATGTCTGTAACTTTGTGTTTTCTCTATAAGTATTACATTTTAGACTAATTTAACATGTTAAATTTAACTTTTCCATGTTTTGTATTATGGTTTTAACTGTTATCATAATTAATGTTGTGCATTTTAGCTACTCTTTCGTTAGAATAAATGCAATGTGTCTGTATGTCTATGGTAATAATTTTGATTTATTGTTGACAGGCTAAATCCCAATTAATGATGTTTATATTAAACTGCCTTATTACTGGATTTGTTAGTTTTGCTATTTTCTCCACTGTTTGGTCAATGAAAACATCAACAAATGTCAATAAATTGGAAAGTACAATGAAACTAAGTGAAGATTTTAAGTTAAATTAATTTTATGTGTCACATTTATTTATATTACTGGTGTCCTAAAGAAGCATATTACAAAAAAGAATGTTTTTCAAGAACAGAAGTTGTGCTATAGTTACCTAAAAAAAACTTAATAAATTTTCTCTTCGTCACTTTTATTGCTATCACAAAAATGCAACAAAATATCATATTAAAACTTCAAGTCCATATTACCCACCTTTAATTGAGAAAGAGATATAAGTACATTAAGAAGGAAAAGGGAACCAACAAAAGCTCACCTGTTCATGGGAGACTGGAGCCTGTTTCTGATTGGACAGCTCCATGCGCGTGCACACATCCGTTCGCAGGTCTGTCTTACAGCCTATGAGCAGGATCCGAGTGTTGGGACAGAAGTCCTGAATCTCTGCTTTCCACTACAAATAAAACAAGCAGGTTTGTTATTATTAATTGTCATTACTGTAGACAGTAAAGCAAATATGACACCCAGCAGGAATCTCAGCTGCTCATACCTTCTTCAGAGCGCCATCTACTGTGTCCGGCCGGCTAATGTCAAAGCATAGCAACACTGCGTCTGAGTCGCTGTAGCAGAGGGGCCTGACGTTGTCGTAATACGGAGAGCCTAAAGGGGCAGTGAGGAGTCAGATCAAACCTTTATATAGCTGAATAGAAGGTTTCACATGGTAACAACATAAAATCATAAATGGGGCTGGATGATATTTGCGTTTCATATCAGTTGATATGAATGAGTATTGATTAGGTTTTTTGTTTTAAATATTTGAAATACTCCCAAACTGGGGGTGTGACATTTTCTATTTTAACCACAGTTTTCCCCCCAGGTTGTTTTTTTTTTTTTGTTTTTTTAAGCAGTTATGAGGCAAAACCTGAAACTGCTGCAGAGCAAGTTACTCAACAAGTTGTTGCTAGGTAACCACAAGTTACTCAACAAGTTGCTGCTAAGTAACCAGAGAGTCAGTGAGTTAGTTGTTGCCACCAACCTGCTTATCTGGCCATGAAAGGCCGAGTGGCTAAAGTCTTTTCTCTGCCTACATCCCCCAGAATGCTGTGCGGTTCTGGATTGGAGTTCAGTAAAATTTTTGAAAATTTTATCAGATGTATTATCTGGTGATATTAATCATGAGTCAATCACATTATATATAGTTATTGATTTATTGTCCATCCCTAACTTATCACCACCACTTCCTTTGTATCTACTCAAGAGAAAATCTAACACTACTAAAAGGAACGCAAATTAATGAGTGTCTCTGCACATATCCTTTGTCTGCTTTAAACCAGCATTCTATAAGTGATTTAAATTCATATTTTAAATTTTAAATAAGCCACACAATACATTGCTCCTTGCAAACTGGAAGAAAACCTGCAAGCGTATGCTAAGGTTGCAAACCTAAACATACAGCCAGAGCTACGTTAGAGTGGTTTACATCAAAGTCCATTTAAGTCCAAGACCAAAGTCCAATTGAAAATCTGCATTAAGACTTCAAAATCTGTCTTATCTGCCAGAGCTTGTGCTTTCTTGCAAAGAGTGAGCAAAACATTACGTTTCTAGATGCGCAAAACTTGTAGAGACACAGCCTGAAGGACTTTGGCTTTGTTACAAAAGATAGATGTACAAACTATGGTGCAGCTGGCTGAATAGAACATAAAAATGCCACAATTTTGAAATTTTGTTTGTTTCAGTGAAAATATTTCGATTTAAATTTCCTCCCAGTTTACAATAAGTGTTGATGTATCATATAAAATGTCAATTACGGTACATCCATTACTTATGAGGATTTAATGTGACATTTTGTGTGAAGTGCAGGACCTGCACTTCACACCTAGAAATTAAATATTTAACCGGAGTGGTGCATAACACATCAAAATGTTTTCTCAGATAATTAACTGAAAACAAGACCAATCACTCAAAAATGTATATCATATTAGTTGTGTACGCTGGCCTTTTTAAAGGCCTTGGGATTCCCCCTCAGGTATTGTGAAACATAAGAACGAAGGAAACAGATTCTGCTTGCATTTCTATAAACAGAACAAGTTCCAGAGCTAAAAACAAATTGGCAGGATGTCCGCGCTCTATTGTCTTCCCCCTGCCACCTAATCACAACCTACACAACCACAGCAAGCTTCAATTTCCTTGTCCTGTCCTCGGGGCCAAATGTGCACAAGGAGCAAATATAAGAAATGTAATTAGGACAGGAATAGATGCTTCTGCTAGCAAGAGCAACCAACAATCAGGGCGTCCTGGTGAAATGTAATGTTTTACACCCAAGGTTTTATTTAGCCGGTCTTTACTGTTGACTTAACTTTGCAAAGTAGGATGCGTTACACAAGTTGCATCTATCAATATACTTTTGTGTTCTGTTTATGAAAAGCAAAATCCATGTCCCACATAACCATCCGAGGTGATGTAAGACTTGAGAAAGAGGAGGCAGACAGATCTGAAGAGGACACAACTTGCTCCTACCGCCTCCCACACTTTAGCACCTCCACCTCGCCTGAACACACAAATAACGCTCACTCACACAAAGACGCACAATGCTTTTAGCTGAGCAACAGAAGCCGATCTGTTCAAACTGTCTGGTTTACTGTGAAAGACAAAAAAAGTGAATGGCGCGCCTTCGCTCATCAGCGTGTCTTGGGAAAATATGCAAAATGACAAATAGCTATATAAGAAAAAGCTCGAGGTTCACATAAAATTTGTTGTATTTCTGAGTAAGAATTATTTAGTATTGATATATGGGTTGCTGGCCCATAGGTGATCAATACAAAGATCTGACCAGCAAATATAGATATTAGCCAATTCCAATTTCTCCTTAAATGGCAAAATGGCCAGCATTTTATGGCATATCAAGTCAGAGGACTCCAAAGCGGCTTACTCTGCTTTTAGTCATTCATCCACTCATTCACACACGGATGGTGGGAAGGTGGATGAAGTGTCTTACAGAGGAAACAACAACTGAGATGGACGGAGCGGGGTTTGAGCTGGGAACCCACTGGTAGCAGGACAAATTTATATTCACGAATTTAAGCATTGTTTTCTCTCTCTCTCTCTGTTGTGATTATAAAACAAGACAGTGAATTCGTTTTTGAGCTAAAAGAAACATTTATTAATTTAATAGTGAAAGCTTTATTTTTGCTAAAAATAATATTCAATATTTAGAAAATACTTTACCGAAAGCAGTATTGCGTACACGTAAAGACGACGTGGATATATATGCACAGTGCAGTGAAGGTGTGTTTATATTTATTTATACAAATGGAAATCAGTCTTATGCAACATTTCCCCCAGAATGGGTGACTGTCAAGAAAGTTTTTCCGTTGTGGGAGACAAATGTACAAACCCAAATTATCTCAGTGCTGCTTTGGGTTACATAAGCGTGGAGGTCAAGCACATATTTTCTCTCAGTATCCCTCGCTTGTGCCTTCTGTTCACAACAACAGCACACACACACACACACACACACACAAGAACCACGATTGGCTTCACTCTTGCAGACTTCCACCCCCCGTATGGACGAGGCATCCCCCCTTCTCCCCTGTGAAACAACCACTCTGAAGGCCAACTGGCACCACTCGACTTCCTCTGAACACCAAGCCTCAGGCTGCAGCCAGCACTGTTACAAAAGAGCTCCGCTGGTGCACTTGGTGGCTTTTCTTATCGATTTAATTTACATAATGACTTCTGTGTGCTTAGATGACTCGGCGACTGCATGCAGTTTATCTTTTCGCACGTTGAACCAGAAACCTAAAAGCCGTTCTGGCCAATTGTATTATCAATTAATCTGCAGGTTAGCTTCACAATTAAACTTCTTTTTTTTAGGTTTTTGCAATCCAAGAACACATGTAGTCATTTAATGTCTGTTGAGGGATTTTTTTTCTTTTTCTTTAGATTAACCTCAGGCAAAAGAGATTGTTACCACATAGTCTTTGTGTAAACACAACAGATTGGATTTATTTTTTGACCAGGATAACCACTTCTTTCAATGTTGAAGTTGGAAAAATTTGCTTTCACCAACTCAGATGGAACAAAATAACTACAAAGTTGGTGCATGACTGCTGTACTCACAATGGGACTTTAAAAATCTTATTATATCTGCTGTAGAAATATACTAAATAAATAGACTAATAAAGATTCAGATGTTTTTCCCTAAGGAGAAGAAAAACACACTGAAGGTTAACGAACAGAATCCAACGAAGTGCTTTTGAATCCAAAATGACAGAATTGATTTAGTGATGTAAGCATCAAAACATTGGTTCCTAATCTTTATCTGACTTTAATTAAACTCAAAAAGCGCTTTAAAGTGTATGACAATGCATATAAAGTCAGAAGACTTCAAATTGTATACGTTCTTTTGTTTTGATGCATTAAATGAACTGGAAAGAAAATCGTATTTTTCAGCATTCAACCTGCAGATCAGAGCTGATAAAGATTTAGTTTTGTTATTTTGTTTCATAAATGTTAAAAGAAATATCAGGATACTGTGAAATGGAACTAAGTTGATGCCTGAAACATCTGGCATTGACTCTCACTGAATCTCTACTCTACTTTTAAGCAAAAAAGGATAAATAAACATTTTGTTTCCTATAGTTTAATATGATTGTACAGTTTTATTTCCTTGACGATTTGTTAATTTATCCGAGAAATGCATAATGTTATGGCTTTTCTGTCAGGATTGATTAACCCAAAGATTTTATGTAAGCAGTTAAACAATTAGATCATTTAAATTTCAAACATTACAAACTCTAAGCAGGCAAGATTCCTCAGAAGATTTCCCACTGAATAAAAAGCTGCTTAACTGCATTCAAACAGGACAGACAAACAGGCAGCGAGATAGTGAAGCCGGCGTAAACAGCACAGATAGCACTGCAAGCAAAACAAAAGAATGAGACCTTGCTTTATTTACAGTCATAATCGTTACCCGGCTCCTGGCCGGCCGAGCTTTCTGGGAGAGTAAACATGCTGCAGATATAAACCCATCAATACGGCTCTGAGACCAACCCTGACCTGACAAAGATGGAGAACATAGGAGATCACATCCGGTTTCAGGAAATTTAGCAAAGGAAAATAGCATCAGGGCTTGTGAATCTCACCAGATGTGTCCCACAGACTGAGCTCAACACGCTGGTCTTCAAGCTCCAGACAAGCCGTGTAGTTCTCAAACACAGTGGGGACGTAAGTCTGGATGAGGAGGAACGGAGAACGGGATTAGGAAGCATTCTCATCACATATTCACAGTGTTGCAGGTTTCCATTTTAGATTAACTCTAAACGAATTGGTGGATTTTGTAATAGACTAATCATTGCTGCTAAATTCTTATTATTATAATTTCTTTGATTTTCTTATTGATGTGGTTTAGTTATTACATGAAAATCTATATTCCAAAAATTAAAGAATTTTGTTCTAACTAAACTACCTTTCTCCTAGTATAAGCTTGACATCATACTAAAGTAGTCTCCATACTCAAATAATCCAAGGATTAATCAGAAGAAATCAATAATGTCAGGATATTCAAGTTGAATATAAAACCGTATAATTGCATACTGACAGTTTTTCTACGTCCTAACAGAAAAGCTTTTTAATATATCCCAGTGATTTAGATGAGCGCAGCAGTGTCTTACCTCTGGATAGCAGTCCTTCACCAACACTTGCAGCATCGCTGTTTTACCGCATTGAACGTCTCCAACCAGGACCAGTTTACACCTCGCCACAAAAGGCTGCGGGAGTCTTCTCTCCTTCATTGCTATGACTGCAGCCCAGAATAAAACTGGAGGAGAAACGAGTGGGGATAGTGTGGTAAAGTGTGGAGTGTTTCAGAAGATGAGCAGCAGCAGCAGTTTAGTTTCAGTCAGTGAAGGAGCCGGAGACGCAGCGGGACTTTATGTTGTCGCGCCAGCCAATGAGAGCGGCGCAGTGCGTCGTGCACGAGGACCGCGCACGAGAAGATGCCCACTCGCAGCCGCAGGGAAACACTCAGCTCATTGATCGCTACAAATACGTAGCAAATTAACAACTTTTATTTAAAAAAATATGAGAGAAATCAAAGCCATTTCGATTAAAAACTCAAATTTTACCGTGTAGTTACAACATCTACATTATCTGAACAGTTTTTGTGTCAAACCTAAGGCCCGGGGACCATGTACGCCCCGCCACAACTTTTTATAAGGCCTTCTAGACTATGGGATTCCATTTGTGGCAAAAATATCTGCCAAAAAATAGAACCTCATAAATATAGACAAGGGGTCTGAAATCAAACCTAGAGCCTTTTTTGTCCTCAGTCTGGCTGAATAAAACTCCTTTGGAGGCACAAAATGTGACATACCCTTTTGTGAGGTCAGGAAATGTATCTGGCCAATCAAACACAGGAACATCATGGCTACTGATTCAGCTTTTGGTGCCTTTAGCTGTGTGAATAGACGCCACATCCTGCTGGAAAATAAAATCAACATCTCCATAAAATTTTCTCGTAGATGGTTGCGTTGACATGACATGGCAACCCAAATATTCACTGAGCTGTGGAAGCTTCAAACTGGACTTCAAGTAAGGTGGAGTCCACTTTTCCTGCAGACTTGGACTTTCATTTTCAAATGAAATGCAAAGTTTATTTCCATCTAAGAAAAGAGGTACAGTACAGATATTTGTCTCCTCAGCCCAGATAAAACACTTATAGCCCATGTGTAGGATACGTCTAGTTTGTAGTGGTTCTTGATGTCCAGCCTCATTCCTCACTGTTTGACAATCCTCTCACAGCTGAGATTATTCTATACTTACCACACTTTTTCCTTCCACTTAACCTTCTATAAATGTTCTCTCTGAACAACCAGCTTCTTTAGCAATGACATTTTGAGGATTACTCTCCTTGTGGAGGGTGTTAGTGATTATCTTCTATCAAGTAGTGATGTAATATTCTCATTTTCTACACAATTAATTTGTGGCTGTTATCATCTGTAACCTATAGTCATCTTAAATATTTCACTTAATGTCACTTTCTGAATTTAACTTTTTTTTTAGTCCTACTTTTAACTTGTCACTAATGCTGTAGATTGCAAATCTCCTTAGATAAGATAGAACAAGACAAGTGGGAGAAAGCAGAGGAAATTACTCTGGTAATTCAGCGTTTCGCATTCATCCACCCACTTTGCCGTGCTGAGTCGACAGTTCTGCCTGAAATCAGGCAAATCCCAAATATCATTAAAAAGTGTGTCTGAGAAGAGGAAAACAGAAAATCCTTCACATCTAATGGATCTCAAAGTGAATTCATTTACATATTTCAAGTCAGACGAGCCTGCAGAGAGCTCTTGCATTATGTAAATCAGGACATGATGAAAGAAAATGCACAAGTGCAATCATGAAGTGGAAATATGCTGCTAATAGCTCTCCTGTTTAAATCCTCTTAACTGCGGCCGTCCACCGCTGAAACAAAAACGAAACACACCAGACACCACCTGCTTTTACATGTTAACAGGTGAAAGATGGCAGCAGCAGCACTGTCCCAGTTGGGTATAACTAATTACATATACTTGAGTAACTTCTTTGACAAAATGCACTTTTAGGAGTATTTTACCATGCTGTTTGTACTTTTACCAGAGTAATTTCATTACTTGAGTAAAACTTCTGGATGAAAAACAAACAAAGATATAAAGACAAGGCAGTTTTGTCAAAGTTTCATAAGTTTTATAATGAAATGAACCGATTTGGGAAAACTTAATTTTTTCTGATTTTCTTATTATTTTTTTTTTGTTACTTATATGAATTATTGACAAAATTTCCACTTAACTCTACATTTTGTTCCTTCTGATGGTGTAATTTTTAAATATTAGAAGACTGATAATTTGATCCGTTACTCAGTACTGGAGAAGCCTTTTCACCAAATACGTTTTTAGTCTTACTTCAGTAATTTCTTGGACGGCTACCTTTTACTTTTACTTGCAAATATATTGAAGTATTGCTAAATAGAACCTTTCTCTTACTAATTTACTTTTATTTAATTGTCATAAACATTTAAGGGAAGTGAGTAAATTATAAGATAATTTGAGAAAATACAACATTTTGTTTTCAAGTCATGATTATGTTAAAAGTAAAAAAGGTTTCCAATTCAATCTGACACCATGTGAGAAAGTAATTCCCTAATAGACGTACTGGCTGGTTGTGCCATCATGGTTGACAACAGCTTCCACCGAGTACGTTTTTATTTATTTATTTATTTCCTCCAGTGTTTGTTATAATGTTCAATAAACACTTTTAAATTATTGCACACACATTTTGGGCCCTTCTTCTTTGTAGCCTTGCTTTGATTCAGCCACAGTGGTGGGTTTCTATAAGGCTTTCCTATTACGGTAACACCACAGTATTCCCTTTAGATTTAAGTCTGGAATTTGACTAGGCCACTCCAAAATCTTAATTGGCCAATTGCATCTGTCAAGTGTGTCTAAGTTTAAAGCCATAAACTGAGGGGAAATGCTCCTTTTCACATCTATTCTCCTTCACAAAGCACAAGGTTTTTGCTCCATCCATTCTGGAGAGTTGTCTGGTTCTTGGCACAGCAAAGAAGACCCACATTATCACTCCGCCACGACCATGTTTCACTGTGGTAATGTTAATTTGAAATCTTGTGTAATTTTTACACCATATGTATCAGGATAAAAATGTCTCGTTCTTCTCGTCCATCAACAGAATATTCTTCAGGTTATTTTTAAGATGTTTTTGGCAAATTTGAGATGGACCTTTATATTATGTTTTAATGTCTTTTAGCATGTTCTATGTTGTCAGACAGGTTGTGTTCAAATTATTTATCGGTTATTCAGGTCAACCAGTAATTAGTCCTGAATGTGGCTTGTAAAACTGAACTGAGCTTCGGCTTCCAAAAGCTGGGATTAATCACAGATATTTATGATTTAGCAAGCAGAGGCAATAATTTTTATACATAGAGACAGTTTGAATTGCTTTTTTCCCTGTAGGAGTTAAAATCCTCATTTAGAAACTGTTTTTGAGACAATAAAGGAAAAGCAGAACAAACCTTTAACAAAACACTGTACATTAAAAGGTAAAAATGAAACAGTGTTTTGTTGTGCAGAAACAACTGACACCAATACATTTCCCCTTAAACACTCTCACTTTGTAATTACATGTACTCAAGTTTTCACTGAATGATTAAAATAGCATCCAGTTCACAGTAACCACCAGTAATGCTGTCTTACTCAATTTGTTTGTTGTTTTCATTTGCAACTGTCACAGTCAAAGGCAAAAAGAGGATAAAACAGAATAAATAAAATCACAGAGGTTCATATTTAATGTGCAACAGCACAAAGAAAAGGTGTGGCTGTTAAATATTACAGCTACAATAACCAGCAAGCGCTCTCACCGCTTGCAAAATTTCTTAGCCTTCACACTGAAGAGCATCACTTCGGTTCAGAAAATACAAACAGTGGAGAAGACATAACAATGTGAAGCTATGAGCTGTCAGGGCAAAAAATGGGGGAAGGGTGGTGCCATGTTCTGCCATAATAAAAAAAAATAATTCAAATCAGTGATTGTCTCAAATTTAAACTACAAACACCATCAGCAGATCCTTGGATTTCTCGAGTTCTGTGTTTCTGCAGCTCCATATTCTTTTGAGCAACACAAAAAACACACATATATGCAGCAGATTGGTGCATTAGTTCTAGCAGGACAGAAACATGTTAACATTCAATGTGGTTCAGTGTAGCCACATTTAAAATATTGCTATAAAGCTTCACTGCCATCTGAAGGTGTAGAGCACAAAGTGCAGAAAAGGAGAGAAATAACCTGATGTTGACAGCCAGCATCTCTGCCAAAAAACACATTTTCCTCTTTAAATGTGGCAAATAAACAAGCTTTTACAACAGAAAGAAACATTCAACAGAAAACAAATTTCCCTACTTCTTTGAGAGAGAGAGAGAGAGAGAGAGAGAGAGAGAGAGAGAGAGAGAGAGATTTTTTAAGTTAAGTTCCTTTTGTTCCATCAGAAGTTATTGTTTTACTGGATTAACATGTGATTTTTAAGTTCTTTAAGAATTTTAAGAATTTCTTGTCACACTCAATTGGAGTGTGACAAGAAATCTTTACAATGTGTTTCCTGACTGAGGAAGTATTTATTTCCACAAGAGATAATAAATGTATTGCAAACAAGACATTTGTACAAAGAAGACATTTGTACAAAGAAGACATTTTTACAGAGGGGAAAACAGAAGCCAGTTTCCAGACAAGGGAACCTAATTAAATGCATGTTTAGGATAAATGTGGAAGAACAAACTCTGGTTGGATTGAAAATATGGTTGGGTATGATACATTCTGGGTTACAAATGTGTCTTTGTAGGCACCCTAATTAAGCTACTTACAGCTATGAAAATTTAAGACTTCAAGTGTGTTAAATGTATGGACTATAAAGTAGCTCATTTTGAGAGATTGTTTCGTCCAGCCATCTATCCATTAAGAGGGTCTGATGCCTATCTCCACGGTCAGGAAGAAAACTTGAAGTGTACAGCCTGCACTTTTAATATGACATTCTCTTTATGTGCGTCACGACCGCCTTTTGTTGAGGTCTGCACCATTTATACACTGATGCACGCCATGGCTACACCGCCAAGCAGCCGGCGGCTGTGCCGAGAAAACAAATGGAACGCACCCGGTAGTTGTCGGCCGAGTTGAAAAAAAAAACCTTCAAATCAACGTCATGACATCACCAGCAGCTATTTCTGGTTTTAACCCAGGTTTTAGTTCCCCAAGATTTCTAAGATGTCTTAACATTTCTGTTAATTTTAAAGTTGATAGAAATTATAAATATGAACTTAGCTATATTATATATTTGGAGAAAGAGCTTATAAATTAGCACATTTCCTTGTTCCGGTGACGTCTTTGTCCTGACCTTACGT